CTTTTATCCAAATGGGCAACCAAAAGACAACAACCAAAACCGACGCACGAAAGTGCATGGTTAATGGTTGTAAAAACTGAACTGTCACTGATTTTACACGAATTGCTGGAACAGCGCGCCTACGGCTAAGTTTGAAGCATTGGTAACGAGAGCCAGCGGTGCGTCCGAGTCGTGGTGTGCTAAGGCAGCTATTTTAGCGAAGACCTTTTTAGCACGTCGAAAACAGCTAAGGCTGACGACGGGAATTCGAGACGTTTTCGATTGCCCTTGGGTAGATCGGTTAAAGGTTGCATGAATGTGGCACAACCCGGAATGAAACGACGATAGAAGTTCACTAATCCAGCAAAGCAGCGTAGCTTTCGGAACGATAAAGGTGCTGGGTAGTCTATGATAGCTCGGATTTTGTCCGGGAGGGGTTGTATTCCAGCGGCCGAGACGACGTGGCCTAGGAAAGTAATAGATGATTGACCCAACGAGCACTTTGAAACGTTGATCGTATCGAGATAAACGTTCAAAAAGTGCACGTGGATGATCTCCCGTCGAGGAAGAGGCTACCAAAATGTCGTCGAGGTAGCAGTAAACGTTGTGAAGTCCACGGCAGACTTGGTCGATGAACCGTTGAAAGGACTGAGTGGCGTTACTCAGTCTGGACAGCATGCGAACAGACTTGAATAACCCTAACGAAGTAATGACGGCCGTTTCGGGAATATCGTTTTAGCGACAGGAGCCTGGTTATACGCGCGAACCAAATCGATCTTACTGAAGATCGACTTAAGAACGAGGTTCGCAGTCAGATCCTGTATGTAATGAATGGGATATAGGTCTGGGAGTGTGTACTTTTTGAGTGCTCGGTCATCGCCGCAACGGCGCCAGTCACCTGAACTCTTCGGAGCTATGTGTAGCGGAGAGGTCCATGGACTATCGGAAGGACGAATGATGCCTAGTTGTAACATGTTCGAATTCCCGTCACGACGGGACTGCACCTTGACGTAGTGTGATGGCTTGCGCGCCTCCATGACCCTGCGAGCTACACAGGATGGCTTTTGACAGCCGTAGGTCCAATCATGCCTGAAAGGTCAACGGGTAGAGGCCAGACGAAGCTCAGTCTCACAAGCCAGCTGCTTGGGCACCCCTGGCTTCTTTCTTCTATCCACATCCGCCCCTGGATAGGCCACTCCAGCAAATAAACACGGTGAAGGGGTAGTTTACCGGTCAGAAATCCCCCGCTAGATGGACGTAGGAGCTGGGTACCGGTTGCTTCCTCTCGATGGTAGGAGAAGTCTTCGCACGTCATCGGACAGCTACCGCCCGCCCAAGCTGGGCAGCCCCCAGCCAATAAGGTGCTGTCCCGTCCACGTTCCGCTTGTCTCATTGGGTGCATGAGGCTGAGGGCTGATCCCGAAAAGCGGACCGAAAATCAACGCACCAGCGAACAACACAATTAATCGAAACCCGAAGGCCTTGCGTGACAGGTCTCTAGAAGCTCTCACACGAGTGCTTCGTTCACGCTCCCGCGTTGGATTTACGCCCCACTGCCTTGTGGGTCGGAATTATGAGTCGAAAGCTCCGGTTAGAGTTCCCAAGAACCCTCTTCGTCGGTGTGATCTGCCACGAAGTATGCCGTGCCCTAAAGTCAGGTGCCCATTTAGAAACCCATCCTCCCCATCTGTCTGATCCTTCCTCTCAATCCCAAATAATCCCAGGTGCCTCCTGTTTACGAGACCTATCGGATATCACTCAGCGTTCAAGTAATAAGATCCACCACTCAGAGGCTTCCAGATTTTCGAAACCAAAATCTTCTTTTCACTTAGCTGCACTCAATGTCCGCACACTACCAGATCGGTCAACAAGCTGCTTTAGCTGGAACCCTTGAAACCTTCCATTTAGATGTATGCTGTGTCTCCGAAACACGCATACAAGATCCTACTTCAATCGTCTTGCGTTCTCCAGATCTAATCTCATCCTCACGCTTCACTCTCCGGATCACGGATCAACAGCTACAGAACGAAGCGTCGATGGTTGTTTGTCGTATCCGCCTATGCACCAACTGATTGCAGTATGCCCGAAGTGAAAATAGATTCTACAAGGACCTCTCTCAACTGCTCGGTCAACGGACATCGTGGTAATCGCTGGCGATTTCAATGCTCAAGTGGGATCCCTGGACGAATCAGAAAGGCTACTTGGTGGTTCATATGAAATTAAAGACAACCGGACTGACAACGGAGAACGCNCCCCCGCTAGATGGACGTAGGAGCTGGGTACCGGTTGCTTCCTCTCGATGGTAGGAGAAGTCTTCGCACGTCATCGGACAGCTACCGCCCGCCCAAGCTGGGCAGCCCCCAGCCAATAAGGTGCTGTCCCGTCCACGTTCCGCTTGTCTCATTGGGTGCATGAGGCTGAGGGCTGATCCCGAAAAGCGGACCGAAAATCAACGCACCAGCGAACAACACACCTGATTTAGGGATGACGTTTTTTGCACGTCGAAAACAGCTATGGGTGACGACGAGAATTCGACACGTTTTCGATTGTACTTGGTGAGATCGGGAAGCCTGTGGACGAATGTTCGTGCTTGTGAAAACACCTGAATCAGGTGGCAAATCACAGAGTTCCCGATCTGTGATAACCACGTAGCCCGAGAGCCGAATGCCTATTTGGGTATAAGGTATTAGTACCGGATGGTTTTTATCCCGCCGTGAATCAACCTGTAGCATTAGTAGGATGGGTGACTACTTTAGGCTCCAGTTGATTCGGTGTTTTTGTGAACGAGGCAACGGCGCTACTACCTACCACCACGATCACTTCTCGGAAAACACGCTCTTTCACAGTCTCGACCTAGAATCAATTCCGAGCATGGTTTATGCATTCACTTTTAGTTCTGTTTGAAGTTTGTACCAATAATTGTTTCGATTACGTCCCCATGATGTTCGCCTTCCAGGTATCTAGCTTTTGAAGTAAAACCTAAGGATTTTAACCCTTAGCATTTTTTTTAAACATGTAATCTAGGAAGCATGGTTGGAATTTTTATAAAAAAACAAGTTAATCATCTTCCCTACAACTTCATCAAGATGGATTCTAGTTTTACATATTGGGAATCTAATAGACCTGGTTTCGAATGAAATTTGCCATTCATTGAAAAAAGTACATTCCTTTATATTTTTCTGTAGACTCAAGAAATCAATTCCATATGTTTCCGATCCTGCTAACGACAACTAATGAGAACCAACCAGATGCCGTGGTCGCTTGGGACCCACTTGGTGGATGTCCGATTGTTACATTTGCTGGTGAAACCGCGCATCGAGGCTCTGTGACGCAGTTCGCCGAGGGTGTTGTATGCGCTGCTGCTAAAAAGCCTTTTATACAGTTATGGAACTTTCACTCTGCAGTATGTCGTAAAATTTTCATTCCGTTCATTCGTGTTTTTCGGCCACTCTAGTCGTCAAGTTACAAACGGATTTTAACCAAAGGACTGGTCAGTGCAATTGCTTTGACTCCGGACAGCGAGTGTATATTTGTTGCATTTGAACGAGAGATTTACGTATACCAGGTAAGCATTTCCTGTCTGTATCATTTGTAACGGTCTTTTCGGTTGTAGACCAGTAGCGGTTGTTTGATTGGCGTGTTGGGTGGTAGTCATTCAGCCAAAATCGGTGAAATACGCTTAGCGAATTGGCTCACGCCGGAAAACACAATGCTGATTACCGCCGATGTGTCTGGATTTCTGGCATGCTGGAATTTGTGCGCGTTAGTCGACGAGTTAAATCTGTTAACCAGTAAGCCGCGAGTATCTGACACTAATGCGTCCGTTGTGGAGCACGCAACACTCGAGCTTGGAAACTATTCACAATCGCCTCCCGTTTGGTATACACTGCAAGCCAGTCACTATCTTCCGCGGATTAACATATTCCGACAACTTGTACTGGTTACTGGATCTGAAGGATTGAAGGTAATCTCTGTAATAAAAAAATAGTAAATTACACTACTTTTTTGTTAGACTCCTCAGCGTTTTGGCTTAGGTCAGTGAGGACAATTGATTCGATACCACAAATTATTGCAAACCAAAGATAAATAAATAGTTACTCGTGGTCACCGTTTGGAGCTGAATGATCGGTCATCGTTAAGAGGGCGAACAAGCTGTCTTAAAGGCAAACTAGGTAGACAGTTCTACTTCAGCATTTTATTCAGTACATTTTAACCAGACATACGTACATGCGAGTGACAGTTTATTGGTACCAATCTTCCTCTAGCACGGGTTTTACACAAAGGTTTCTCGCCATGATGCAGTGTCGACAGTTGGACATTTTTTGAACTTTCACGAAGAGACAATTGCCTATGTATTTCACAGAAAGTCTTCATCAGGATACCAATGA